GGGCCTGTGCTGGAGCAGTTGAATGGGAAGGAGCAGCAGAGAGGAACCATTATGGACTGACCGCAACCCCCCATTCCCCACCCCTGTGCTGCTGGGTGGGGTGGAAGAGGTGGAAGAGTTACAAATGTAGGAGTGAAGTTGAATATGGGGAAAAAAGAGGAGGGGAGGTGTTTTTGTCTTTGTTTCTCACCATCCGACTCTATTTTAATTGGTAAAAATTAGATTAATTTTCCCAAATTCGAATCTGTTTTGCCTGGAATGATGAATGCCCAGTGATCTTCTTGTCCTTATCTCAACCCATGAGCTTTCTCATCTTCCTTTCTTCCACTGGACTGCTGAGGAGGGGGAGTGAGAGAGCGGCTAGGTGGGCGTCTGGCGGCCAGCCAAGGTAAACCCACCACACTACTCTAACAACGGTGTTTTTAAATACAAAGCTGAGCTATACTTAGTTCTTAAAACTGCCTTGTAAGCACTAGCTTCTAGTGGCAGTTTTAGGGTGCTGCTTTTTCCTGCAGGCTGGATCCCGGTAGCTCCATGCTCACTGGAAGTTGCTCCCTGGTCAGTTGCTTGCCAGGTTCCGCATCCAGTTTTGAAATGCTGATCTCCTCCCTAGACCATTAAACCCATTTATCATTAAGAACCTTGGAGGCCTAGAAGGAACAAATATTTCTCCTTTATCAGATAATGAATAATTTGTCAGAATTTTATGCGCTTCATGCAAGGCCAAACCATGTCACTTCAGGTCTCGTCACTTGTGCTGTACCCAAATTACTGTCCTGTCCTCTGTCCTCTCTACTACAGCTGGGCATGTGTGGCACAATTTAATAATGAATCTTCATCCACTCTCCCTACCTCCTTCCGAAAACGTATTAATGTATTTTATTGCTTAATAGTAGAGTTGTATTTCTGTGAAATTTATCCCTCCTCCTTTCCTCCAGTCTAGTGCAGAATAAGGGTTCAGACTACACTGTATATTGAATTTAGATTTTACAGCTGAAATCATTGTAAAGGCTCTGAAATGAGGTCCAATTTTGCCTACAAATTTTTTGTATTTCATAGTTTCTTATTCCTTGCCTTTCTAGAGTAAGCAAACCCCCTTTTTTTCTTTCTATGTCCTTTTCTATGTCCTTGATCATTCTTGCCATGCTTTTGTTCTGCACTATCTCTCTGTTCAAGAGAAGGGCTAATAGTGTTCCAGGTAAATCCGCCCTGTTGTTTCAGGGAGCAGTTTTAATGCTCTTTATGTCATTAACACTTTCCATGTATACATCCCTTCGCCTTGTTAGCTATTGCGTCAGCAAGCCCGCTCTGTGCCGAGCAGGGCATTTCACGGAGCTGAACATATATAGTGTTCAGGTTCCCTTTCTGAGACCGTGTGGTTAATTTAGAAGCATATAATGTAGTAGTTTACATGCTTTTCACCTCTATTCATTGATTTCCATTTGCCACCATTGACATTGCACATCACTTGCCATCAAATTGGGAAATTGATCTAGTTGATGTGGGTCACCCTGAAGCTCCTCGCACCTCTCTTGTTTCTCTTGCTCATAGTACCTCTTGCCATCCTGAGATCAACTTGTATCACTGCTCCTTCCTTTTGTCAGCATCATTAATGAGAGGTTTTCCTATGGAACCCTGAGGAACGTAGTTCTTAACATTTTGCAGTGGTGAGGGGTGACTGTTTAATCCTGTTCTTTCTTTCTGTCTTCTAAGAAGCTAGTTTTTAATACAAAATAGTTTTTGGTTTCATATCTTGTGACTTGGTTTGTTTCTTTATTGGCATAGCTTTTGGAAGGCTAAATAAGGTATACAACTGTTTCCTGTATTCAGTGCTCCACTGGCATACTCAAACCATTCCAGGAGATTAGGAATATCTAATTCCAGTATCTACTAGCGGTGTCTAATGCCAGACAACTAATTTCAGGAGATCAGTAACATCTGGAGGAACCATATCAGTTTGAAATGTAAAGAAATACTGTACTTCATGGTTTTTAACCAAACTTTCAGGAACTGATGCAGAAATCACAGGTCTGACAATCCATACGTCACACCTACAGTTTTTGAAACATAGAAAGGCATTGTTCACTACTTTCCAGGCTCAGAAGCAATGTGTTTTTTCAGTGACATGAAATTTAAAGAAATACTGTACTTCATGGTTTTTAACCAAACTTTCAGGAACTGATGCAGAAATCACAGGTCTGACAATCCATACGTCACACCTACAGTTTTTGAAACATAGAAAGGCATTGTTCACTACTTTCCAGGCTCAGAAGCAATGTGTTTTTTCAGTGACATACTACATGTTGTTGCTATCCCTAGATTTCAGAAGGTTTTTAATATCTCATACTTTTGTTGTTTTAACAGTTGTTTATTTTGTTGGAGACTATAAACCAGGTGACCTTTGTTTAAGAATTGTCGTAGATAGCCTAATGACAGGGTTATTATTGTGTTAGTTGGCAGAACTAGTCAAGATCTTAACTCAGTACTAACTTTGTGTTGGAAATGCATCCTTAGAAAAAAGTTAATGCTTTGTTACTTCTCTTATGAATCACTCTGTTTTTACTGCCATCAAGCTTTTAAGACCTTGAACTAAAGTGGAAGTTTAATGGGGGTACATGGGGAATGTATGTTCAGTGGAAGAGTGATAACTCCTCCCTCCCTCCTGCAATGTGATAGAGAGTTCTATTGTGATTTGAAAAAACAATGAATTCTTTGGCTGACCTTTAATGGAGAGCAGGGTCTATGCAGGGCAGTAAAATCCAAGCAGCTCGTGCCACTTCCCTCTTAAAGTTACCTTTTATGAGACTCGGTATAGCTCAAAGTAGTGGAAATGAAACAGGCAGCAAGAGGAACTATTAGTAGAAAGAAGTAATTTGCTGCTGTGCCTTACTTTCTGTATGCACATCACTCTCTGTCAGGAGGAAGCACGTTGCTCTGTTTCTAAACGAAGTGGCTGTGAGACCCTGGCTACTACCTTGTAGCCTCCCATCGTAACTTCAGGTCTTGGAACCTGGGCAGTGAGACAGAGTGTAAATCCTAGGCTACTTTTGCAGACTTTGGTAAACTGAACTTTGAAGAAATCAGTAATAACAAAAGGAAAACCACATTTTTTTTTCTTACCTTGAATTATGTTCAAATTAATATATGAGAAATTGGAGTTACTGTAATACTCACTGTTGCAGCAAAGTAAATGTTCTAATCACCGAAGCACTATTGTATGTCATCTATCTAATTCTGTGTTACAAAGTATGTAATGGAAGCAGTGATTATAACTAAAAAATGATTTATGAAAAATTTTCCTGGAGATGAGATATTTTTGCTATCATACCTATTTTGAGACCTGTTCATTTGGCTGGCTAATTTATTGATAACAATGTCTCTCAAAGGCTGAATCGTTTTAAAAGTATTAATATTAGTTGATATTTGTAATTGATATACACTAACCTAAACATGAAGAATTTGGCAGATGTTCTTTGAACAGACAAAATTGATTCCTGTTGTGAGACTGTTCCAGTTAACATTTTTATATACAGTTATGTTTTTAGCATAAATTATCTGCACTTTAGGAATGAGTTTTTCTGAGAGAACATTTGAATCTGAGAGCAGATTGAAAAATCCCTCTATTTTTTTATATCAGCGTGTAATAGAAATGACCATTTTTCCCTCAGTAAAGTTTAAGTTAACCAGTACGTACAGGGCTCAGGTTAAGGTGAGCCAGAGTTAAACAACAATTGACCAGCACTGAGGTTAAATTAATATTGGGAAATACTAACCAGATTTTCAGTTGTTAAATGGTGCCCAAGGGCTATTTGTAGACTCATACCATTATTTCTGGATTAAAAAAAAAAAAGTTAATCTAGTTTATATTTTGAAATATATTAAACAATTTAAAAAGTTGTCTGGGAGTTGAGTAGAGCGTAAGTCAGGTATCCGGTTTTTAAGAAACTGGATGCATAACATAGACCTAGTCATGGATTGTGAGCTTTGCTTCAGGAATAATTCAGGGCAGATTGTTAGTTTCTCTAAGATCTGTATCTCATTTGCTGTTAAAGCTGAATGTTGTATGGTCAGTGAGACTGAGGATTACAGATGAAAAGGGGAAGATAGTCTGATGTAGTTGAATGATCCCAAGAGAATTTAATTCTAGTCATATCCGAAACAAAAAGAGCTTATGAATGGAGTTTCAAAACTTAAAAAAAATAATCAAAATTCAAAGCTTTCACTGAAAGTCTTTCAGTTCCTCATTTTTAAGACAATTGTCTTGAATTTTAAAACCTGCTCTGCAGGTAGTAGTTGTGATATGAATTTGGTAGGGCACTGAAGGCCAAACCTGGAAAGGAATTTTGGTCAATTTCCTAAATCTTGTAGGAGCTGGGCTGTGAAATATTTTAACAGAGCTTGTCTTGAAGCAGTGTAATAAAAATGACATATGGAAGTAAATGGAAAAAATGCTAGTAGGTGTTTAGTGCAGAGTTTAGATAATATAGAATTAATGCATGACATATATTAAGCTAAGGGATACATTTCATTAATTATCTGCATTTTCAGAATAAAAAACTTGATCATAAAATAGATAAAAATAGCACAAGGGGATCAACTTAAAGTGGAATGGGTTGTCCTAGCATATATATTACCTAGCTTTTATTCATTGGCTTTCTAACTGTAGCCTCCTTTTAATGAGATTTTAAATGCAATTTCACTACGGATAATAGCTATGACAGTGTAGGCACTCAGAAAGCTCAGAGACTAAAATGAATATAGTGTCATGTAACCCTTTTCTTTGACGGACTGTCTTTGTTACTAGTTTACTAGTACTTTTTTCTGTCTAGTGCAAAAAAATAAATAAAACGGGTATCATATTGTGTAAATATCACTGACTATTCTTCAAATGGTTGAATTTGCTTTTTGTTCTTCTATTGTTTTAATAAATCACTATTTTTAAATACTGAGCACATTTCTTTTGCAGCTTTTCACAATTTTTTTTTTTTTTTCTGTTTCAGCTGTCATTTAGATGTTGATATGTAAAGCAAAATGGCAAAAATCAACACCCAGCACTCCTACCCTGGTATGCACAGACTGTCTGTCAGGACTACTGATGAAGATATTGAAAGGATTGAAAATGGCTGTATCAGGTAATATATTCCTTTCATCACAGTCAAGAGGAGACATTGCTGCATGATTTGTGGCACTCCTCTAGCTCTGCATTATGGGAGTGTTAGATCATGATATTGTTGACCTAGTGCACTTACCTGACTTAACGGTATATATCCTAAGTACAGAAGAGACAGCAAAAGAAAGATTGTCATGGCTTGCAGTTTTGGGACCAGAATCTGCATTACCTCAGAAATAAACTCAGTTTTTTCACATCAGTGGGAATTATACCAACTCATTAAGGAGAAACCCCTTTCTCAAGTCACCACGCAGACAGCAGGATCTGTGCTTCCCACAGAGTCTCTGGATTTGGAGAAAAAGGGGTCCTCCAAGTGCCATGCAGTGAAAAGCTTCAGGAATTTTTTTATTTTAAAGTTTCAAAGTGTTTGTTTAAAATATGCAAGCGAGCTTGCACTTACATTATACACAATACCAATCATTAGTCTAATCTGGGCAAATCTTGCTGGGCCTGCAGGGTAGAGTCTGATGATCCATAGCACCTGTACAGACTGGAGAAGGTGTTCTTTTGGCTTGGTACAGTCAACCATCTCCACTATGTGGACCTTGTCAGACTGTCTCTTGCTGTTCAAATGTGTATCCAGACTAGAGCACTCAAAATCCTGCTGGACTGATAGGACTGCCGATGTTATTTTTGGAGGGCATGCCCCTAGCATCTAGTATGGGTGTGATCCCTGTCCTGTTTGAATCAGCCTCTTTTTTTATTTCTGCTTTGCTTACATCGTACCTTCTGTCATGTAGGTGTTACCTACACTAGTGAAGATGGAGCTGCTTTTATTCTGCTCAGTATGGCTTGTTTGACTTAGTTATACTATGCCATTGTCTCCTTAGGGAGATTTGCAAGAGCCCTGTCCCTCGGTCTCCATTTACAGTGATATCTCAGGAACAGAGAAAATACAGATCAAAATGAGCCTCTTCATTTCCTTTTTTAATGTCCTTTTTGTAGAGGGTATCAGTGATTGGCAGCTCACGGAATGGAATTACTGGCAGGGATGTGAGAGTGTGGCTATAAAGGTTTAAAGGTAGAATTAAATCACTGCAGTCATCTGCAGTTTCAGAGGCAATGACTTGCTTATGATAGATAGAGGGACTGAAATATCAATTGCACTTCATCATGATGATGAGTCTTGAAGAGCCATTTATTTGAAAGAAAGTTTTCTGTTATCAGCATTAATTGCAGGAGTTCATATATGGGTAAAAACATACAATCTCACTCTCTAAAAGAGATCTCATTTTTAAGGCTTTTGGATTGCTGAAGTGATTGCTGGTAAGTACATAAAATACCTTTATAATACCACTCAAAGAATTCTGATACATATTGTTTTAATTCAGATTAAAAGATACCAAAAGATAGATCCCATACAAAATTTTAGCCCTTCTTTACCTTGTAGCAAAATATACAACTGTAAACATTAAAAAAAAACTCCAGGTTATCTAGAGTAGCATAATTTCTCCTTTGCCTTTGTCTTCCTTCAATTCCAGTTGGCTATAGTTCAACAAAGCAATTAAGCATATTACTTAGTTCTCATTAAAGTCAGTGGGTGTTAAATTTATGCTTAATGCTAAGGATGTGCTTAAGTCCTTTTCTGGTGTGCAATGAGGTATTATCAAGGAAAAGCATTCACTGAAATAGTTAACAGAAGGCTGCTGGTGATCTTTAAACTGTCATTCTCAATTATGCTGGAGTAGGTGATTCATGTGCCCATATTCTTATAGTACAGCGTGCTATAAAGTTGGTCCATTTAGTTAAAAAAAAATCAACAAAACAAAAAATAACAAATGAGTCTTCATTTTGAAAATCCAGCCCTGTATAGAAACAGCTTGAATAGAACAGGCAGCACATTAGCTTATAGACACAGTCTGGCCACCTAAAATTTGGCAGTAGGATTCAGATGTGCCTTGTAGACATCTGGATGTCAGTGTCTTGGTGTCAGCAGGTGTCTAAAGTTCCTGCTGTGACCAGTGGAGATGCAGCCAGTACAAGAAGTCAGTGGAGCTTAGGGAACTGTTCAGCTTACCCTGAAGTTGAGTAGCTCTTCAGGCTCGTTTGGCTGTGTTGATTATGAGAGGTATTTAGTTGCCTGAAATAGGCATCTAAAGCTATTTGAGATACTGTAGGGTATCTGAAGCATTTAGCTGGGGCTAGTGGATAAGAGGTGAGACCTGTGCGCTCTAGAGAGGTCAGATAAAGTATTTTGAGGTGTTCCAAATGGTACTAGACTCCTATATTGAGGCAACTGAATCAAGCCCTAAGATGACAATTGACTATAATGGGAACTTAGATACTCAGCTTATATTAGAAAGCCTGATTTAGGTCACTGCCATCTGAAGCCAAATCCTGCCCTTGAAATCTGGCTCATAGTCATTACTCAAAAGGGGTTCAGCAATTCCTGTTTAACTGATCAGAAGTTCAAAACAGTTGCTACTAAATGAAAATTCGGGATTATTTGCATGCATTTTAGGTGCAAGTGGTCTTCTAGGGTTTGCTTGAAGATCTTTGTGCATATTTAAAGCCAAGTTAAGTCAAGGCAAGGGACAGGTACAGAGCAGCTGGTGATGTAAATATCCTTCCCAGAGCTTACTCTGCTAGGTACCTTGAAAGCATGGGAATAGATCGGGTTTTATAGTTCTGAAGAGGCATGGAGCCAATGAGTTTTCTCTAAGATATAGTGACATTGCTACCCCCGTGGAAATGAAATATTTTTCAGCATAACTTGAGGAGGCACAATCATCTGCTGATGTTTCTGCTTTGTAGCCTGCTCTCTGTTTCTTGACACAGTGCATATTCTCTTCTCAGGTTGATTTCAGACCGTATAACACTCTTGGATAGTCATGGCAGTGGTTACCATTTTGCTGCAGATACCAAACATGTTTATGGAGTCCAGATGGGAATGACTCTGTTTTCGTAAAAATAAAGTAAAACTATGCCACATGCATTGAAGGTGCTACATCAAAAGCCCCATCTGTAACTGTCCCTCTTTATCGTCATAAAGCCAGCTGACAAAGAAGGCCTCTTGTAGTATCTGAACAGGATTGAGGAAAGTTGGGAATGACTATATGAGTTTTATAATAGGGACTTATAATAATAGAAAGAAGATTTCATTTCAGTTTTACTTTTTGATTTGCATTTGTGTGATCTAAAGTATGTTTGTGATTGCTGTGTATTATCGGACAGGTGCTTTCATAAGCACCTGGAGGAGTCCTTTGCATGTTGTTTTCTGATCCCGTTGAAGATATACTGAAGAATTAGCTGTATTTGTAAAAATGAAATGCAAGGTCTTTAGTAGATTCCACAAAATGATTTTGATTTTCCTGAGTTTTCTTCACGTCGTATCTATAACTTTTTTGTAAGGTGAACCTGAATTTATTTAAAAATCATTATATTTAGTTATAACATAAACCTAGTTGTAGAAATTCTTGCTGCATATATAGAGTAATCAGAAAATTGTGTTTTAAAAACAGCCAAGAAACCAAAATAAAAATGTAGACTTCAAAATTTCTCTAGTTGAGTCCATAATCTGCCCAGTTTGATTACAGCAGTTGAGCCTCAGTTTTGCCTTTTTTTTTTCCCTACAGAATACAAATTTTTCAGTGAGTGTGTCTGATCACGTATTAGTAAGAATCTGACAAGAGAGCAATTTACATAATTTGAAATGTTTGATTTGTTTTATGGGACTCCGGATCAGATTGGAAGGTGTTCAGATCAGGTCACACTGAGCGTGCCATTTTCTTTCACGTAGATGAAAACATGTCTTCAAATGCTTCTGGCTCCAGACACCAAAAGCCATACCCTGGATTGAAAACATTGGGTTTTAGAGGGTGCCATTGCGTGCTCAGTAGCCACTGCTAGCAAGAGGACAGACAGTTGGTAAAACTCTTAGTGTTACAGATGCACAAAGTATGATGAGACTGTGTGGGGACAGTGGAACACAGCTTTCCACACTGCTGAGGAGTATGGAGGTGATGATGATGCACACGAAGCACTTAACAGGTGATGTAATTAGCAAGTATGAGTCTATGCTGGTAAGTGGAGCTGGTAGAATGGTATTGCTTTTAGTGCCTGATCAAGCTTGTTTAGAGCTCACTAAGCTCTCTCTGCTCCATTCTGCTTTGCCTTCCTAGGCATTTACTCAAAATAAAGCTGGGCTCTTAATTCTTAGCCTTTTATTAGTTGGCAGCAGACGCCCAAGCGCAGCAATGTCAGTAATAAAAGAGGCTGGGACTAAAAAAAAGTTTACAAAAAAGAAATAAGAAGGATAGTTAACTGTTCGCAGCAGATGCCCAAGCACAGCAATGTCAGTAATAAAAGAGGCTGGGACTAAAAAAAAAGTTTACAAAAAAGAAATAAGAAGGATAGTTAACAGTGCATTTTGGATAACAATTTTAACTCCTGCTTGGCCCTTGTTCTCACTGATAAACCAGCACAGTTATATCAAAATAGGACATCACATAGTGTTCATTGTATTTCAGTATGCTTATAAAATTAAAATAGTTCCTTCTGAGACTGCAGGAAAAGTATGACTGGCCTGGTTTCCTGGGGCTGACCTCTGTGTAGGGTTTTCTTAGACTTACAAAGAATGCACTCTGGCAATATTTTTTCTTTTTAAAGTTCTACTTGGAAGCATACCTGAAGTATTTTAAACCTTGTTGACTTTGTTTTCTGTATTATTATTATTCACTATTTTATTTTGTGACCCTTATATTTAATTACCTGTATTTGGAGCAAATATATTTTTATATATTTTAATATATTGCAAATATATTAAGCAATACTTAATGTACAGTCACTAAAAGCAGGTGTGTTACTGGCACTCAGTGAGATACTGCTCATCATCTGAGTCACTGATTGAACACAAACGTCTAATTCATCCAAATGCGAAATAAAAGATACTGGCTTAAGCCTCCATGCAAGGCTATGTATTTCTGCAAGATACAATCTTTTTTTCACATCTGAATTGTGACACCTAAAATTATTTTCTAAGAACTGTCACTATCTTCTTTTATAAAATGTATTTTCAGGACTCAAAACTAGTAATAATTGGTAAGTAAGAACAGAAGTAGCAATTTATTGGAGTTTATTGTTGTTTAAGATTGCACAAAACGTATTTTTCCTTAAAAAGGAATAAAAGGACATAAAACCAGCCAGAGAAGTGCATTCTAAAAGACTGACTAGTCCTGTATCCTTTCTCCATCAGCACTGTAGGCAGATAGTCCAGGAAAAAGAAAAAAAAAAAGCAGGCAAATTACAATTGTCTGCAAAACACTCTCCTCTAATATCTCCCAGCATCCAGCTCAGGAGACGTCTTGGGCTGAATGCAGGCTCTGCGTATCTAGTAACCTGTAATGGATTTCTGTACCATGAGTTTGTTCATTCTCCCCTAGAAACCATGTTAACTTTGGCATCCACAATATTTTCAGCATCCACAACATAAATGAGGTTATAAAAGTTTTTCAATACCAAGCAGTGTCTGTTGGTGTCTTTGTATTAGAAGAGAAGAAGAAAACAGTGAAAAAGTTGAGAATTCGCCATGTTAACTTTGGCATCCACAATATAAACTAGGTTATAAAAGTTTTTCAATACCAAGCGGTGTCTGTTGGTGTCTTCGTATTAGAAGATAAGAAGAAAACAGTGAAAAAGTTGAGAATTCTGGGACTGTGAGGACCCCTTTTTTAGCTTACTTCTTTGTGTAGGAATAATAAAGTTTTAATTCTCTGTTTGTCAGTTTCTCAGCTGTGAGTACACACAAAATTGAGCTGCTAATTCTCCTTTTGTGGGCTTTCAAAATGTTGCCAGTTCTTATGAAGACGCTGCAAGTATGATTATAACCAATGTTCTCCTGGCAATACAGATTAACAGACTCATGTGAGAGTTCTTGTTTGCATTACAAAGGGAGAAAAAAGTGATCCTTAATGGATGTGACAAAATCTTGTAAAAGTGAATACTAAAGAATGAAAATCACAGAGAAAACCCTAGGAGTCTTAAAAGAAAATCTAGAGTGAGCCCTGGTAAAGTCCAAAAAAAGTGACCCTTAATGGATGTGACAAAATCTTGTAAAAGTGAATACTAAAGAATGAAAATCACAGAGAAAACCCTAGGAGTCTTAAAAGAAAATCTAGAGTGAGCCCTGGTAAAGTCCAGGTTCTAGTGAGGTCTATTTAAAATGCCATTACTGAAAGATGAGGCTAAAATTTCATCTCTTTATCTCAAATGGTAATTATTTCAGTGCTAATAAGTAGTCTTACAATGTGGCTCATGGGTGATGGCAGACACACCATGTAGCTTCCCTTTGTAATTGCTGCCTGCAGTTGTGTGCTACTGGGCTGCTGTAGTGTCTTCCATGTGTGACCATAGCCCGAGGTGCCTCATCCTGAAGATCCGTAGCCTGTTTTGCTGTGCAATAGGTGAAGTTTCAGTGACGAAGCGAGCAGCCTTAGGTCTGCAGTTGTGCAGCTGGTGACAACAGGCTGGTAAGACCTGCAGTGGTGCTGCTCAGGGCTAACGACTGTAAAATCACTGTTTTTCCCTTTCAGTCCAAGCAGGAGTGAAAACAAAAAGAGATGCGTATTGTCTTTGAGGAACCGGGCTGGTAGAAATTCCATACTGTTAAACCCAAGCATTGTCTAGGAGAACAACACTGAAAAAAGCAGTGGGCAGTCACTTTAAAGCCCCCTGGGGATGAACTCCGTGTGGAAGGAAAGCTGCTGAGGCCTTACAGGAGGTGTTAGAGTAGAAAACATACTCTCCATAATTGTGTATCTGCACACCAGAGTAGTACTGACCAGTAAGGAATCCACTTCTGACCTTCCTGGAACAGGTGACAGAGCCTCCACTGACTTCATTTCATGCTGGATGGCTCCAGAAAAGTAGGAATATTGGCTTAGCTCTATGTCTGTCAAACGTATGCCATATTACTAGGAAGAGGACAATTTGCTGCATTATTTTCTGATGTACTGGTGGAAAGAATCAGATGGGGAGAAGTCTGCTGGAGGCTGTATGGAATTCATAACAAAAATGTTGCTTTTGCAGAACCCATTCGTTGTGTGAGGATGCATCTTCCGAACTGCAGAGAGTCATTTCTGTGGAGGGAAGACATCTGTCTGAATCCCAGACGAGCTCATTCACGGGCAGTGGAGCAATGGCAAGGTAACATGCTAACTAATACAATTTCTGGTATTAAGTTTAACTTGTTGAAAGAGGCTGATCACAGTTTGGAGATAAAGAAGAATCATCACTTCCCAAGAAAATGGATGGAGTCCAGCTGAAGAAAGTCTATAAAAAGTATCAGAAGCTACTTTTGACATTGATTCTGAACTCATTGCTTACTCATTGCTAATAAAAACCTTAGAATTTTTATTCTCTAGAATATCACTCTAGAGATGCTGAAAGACTTCACACAAATTAGTCTGAATACAAAAAAGTATCTGAAAATATATTGAACACTGAGGATATATGTGAAGTGAGGCCAAACTGTAAATGGTTAAGTGTTTGGTTCTGACTGATAGCTGATGTAATGTTTGTTTCCTACCAAATAAGACACAATGATTTTCCTTGCTGGTAGATGGCTCTGGCAAGGGAGGAGGCAGGAGCTCTTGTGTTCGGAGTGCAAGGGTTTCTCTCAGGTTTTAGAATCCAGTTATGTTTATAATGGACTGGGAGCCTTAGCAAAATTGAAGCCAACCATTTGCTTAAGTCATTTACTTTACCAGGATTTAAACATAAACCTGAAATGGAGCTTCAAAAATGTATTGTGTCTGCTTTAAATATTTCCAGCTGAGGCTGCAGAGCTGTGTCTTCACATACTGTTGTTACACACAATGCAGATCCCACTCAGTTCAAGCATAATGCATTTCAAAGAGCCAAGAAAAAAAATATTATAAACTGGAGTCATTTAAAGAGTGCTGTTTACACCTCAGCCTTTTGGATGGTGGAGAATAAAGTTGCATTTCCCTGTTTGGTTGTCAGATAGTGACACCACTGCATGTAGATGACAAAGTCTGCAAGAAGTTGGGTTTAGATGAAAATTTATAGTTGTGTGTTTTGTGTAAACATAAAGTGCATGAATATACAAACTCATATTGACAGCTTCCATTTTAATCTTTGTTTATATTGTTCTTTGTCCTTTTAGGGATAGTTTGAATTACCCATGTGTAGCTACAGTTACTTATGTTCTGAACATATAAGGAAGCCTGTTGTGAAAACATGAATGCTTAGCAATTTAAATATTATGGTAACATAACATGCCTCTTGAATGCAAATTCTCAAGGGCCTAAGACAACAGCATTTGATGAGCTTCACTGGGTATCTTCCTTCAAGATGTAAAGGACAAAAAAGCGAAAATAATATAGCACGGCAGAAATCAGAAAATTCTACTTCTGCTCAAATAGAGAGGCTCTCAATCTTATTTGGTAAAATCTGTTTGCTTCTTAACTGACAGGTCTCATCAAAATGCTTTATTTTCTAATGTAAGAACATCTGCATTAGTAGTTTTCCATACCAGTCCTTATCTGAAAGCTGAATTCTGCTCAGGCAAATAGAAAAATTCTGTACTTTAATTTTATGCAGTGTATTTTGAATAGAGTGAAGAATCTATTAAATAATCTCAGACTTTTATGTAGATATTTTGTTTTCTTTTGTGTTTCTGGTAGGCTTTGAATTCTCTTAATTATTGTCAATTGTAGATGATTTATATGATGCTATCTTGGTATAGTGCTAAAGAACCAGAAATATAATTTTTCTAATTTCTGATATGTGGTGTTATTCCTGCCTTTTTTGTCCTTTTTATGTCAGGGTAAGAGAACCTGGGCAAGATCTATGAGGAGGTGTAGTTAGGTCCTTGAGAACTGTAATCAAGAGGCAGAAGTACTTTACCATAAGATTTAAATTGTTCATGTCAACCTCTTTGTGGTTTCTGAGCACATATGTAATGCCAGCCAATGCAGAGAGAATATAAAGAACTTTCCTTGAGTAGCCCAAGGTCTCTGTAAGAAGTTAAGCATCGGTCAGGATTTCATTATGCTGTTTTTGAGGCCAAGTTTGGGAAATCTGAATTAAGACCACTTCCGTCCAGACTAGACCGCTGATAGGAAATAATACAATATATTGCGTGGGTAATACATATAATCACTTTTGTAGATTTCAGTTTCCATTATTTTCAATTTTTTGGAAACATGTTTCCTTTTGAACTTTGACAGAATACATTTTAAGGATTCATAATGTGAATTACTGAGTAGAGAAAAAGATGCATAATGATACAGCGATAAATTAATTATTATGTTGTCATGAGGTTTTGCTTGTCTCATTTCAGTGCTTTGCTAGAAATTTAGGATGAGGAAATAGTGTTTCCTATGCAGTAGGCAGGTTTATGTGATGGGCAATTACTATGTCTGCAGACAGACCCTCTAAAATCACAGGGAAAGTGACTGAATTTTTATCTTTCCTTATTTCAAAGTCCATCCTCACCAGCTATTCAGCTTTTGTTTCCACTGTGTGTACCAGCTCTTGAGCATGTGGTTCTGTGAGTATTTGAGATCTCCTAATTCTGTCAGTCCACGAATTCCCCCATTATCACATAATGTCAGAAGTTTGCCAGAAGTCAACAGTCCCACCCCAACCACTTGCCAAGAATATTCTTCTGTTGCTCCTGCAGCACTGGTACCATGGATTAGAAACTGATGTGTGAGATACTTTCCTGATCCACTGCAAAAGGTGATGTATGAAATTGTGGGAAGTGGCTGGGTTCACACGGATAATCCATCAAGTTTAATTTCACAGCAAGTGGATAAGTGGATTAAAAAAAAAACCCTCCTGGGCTACTTTTTGAGGGGATGATTTAAGCCATCTGATGTTCTTTTCTGGTTCAATTGATGTTGTATGTCTGTTCCATGCAGGCTATCACGATTTGTCATATCTGTGAGGTCATGGGCTTCAAGACATTTGCACCAGGAGGACAAAAGACCCGATTCTTTCCTGGAGCGTATCCGAGGGCCAGAGCTGATAGAGGTGTCCACTAGGCAAAGTAACATCCGCTCCTTTCTGGGTATGCGTGAGCGGCCTGGGGGAGTAAACAGGTAAGAAGATGTGTTTATAGTTTAAATGAAGACGACTGAGGTTATGGTATTTTCTTGGTGATTAGGATGTAGGTTTTATTTTAAGAAGAGAGTAAGGAGCTTAGCATGGGAGATGAACAGAGTATCTAATGCTGCCTAGGAATCTTCACATAAGTGAAGTATTATGGCTTTCAGCAGATTTTTTCTTTCCCCCTCAAACACGCTGTGGCGAAGATCTTGAAGTAAAGGGTTTTGATCACGCTGCTTCAGGCAGAGTGCTTTCTCAGAACTGGGATTTTATCATAGGCTAACTGTGCAACTTGAGGTTGCTAGACTCCTCTCTGCTGAGGATGAATGCAATTTCTATTTCAATAATCTGGGATGATGCTCGTTGTGGCTTTTCAGGACATTACTGTTATGCACATTATCCACGAGTGCTAGGAAACTCCAAACAAGCAGTTGTGCAAAATGTGTCATTGCTTTGTTACACCTGCTCAGGAGTTCAGCTGCTAACGTTACGGGAGGCTTCTGATGCAGAAATGAAAAAAAAAAATCTTTTCACTGCTGACTTATTAGCACATACTCAGTCTTTGGTATGGAAGGTAGGTTCAGTCTTATCTTAATTTTTTCCTGGTAATACAACAGAGCCTTGCAAAAGAAACTTTTATGTGTTTATAGTCTTTTGACTTGATGAATTCATATCACTTTATAAATATATGGTACAGTGTTTTAAATTTCACTCCAGCTAGAAGGGGAAAATGAAGTCCCAAGACAAAACTTGATTTTCTGTTTGGTATTAGACTTTGAAGCATAGACTGCCATAGTTAAAGACTGGTAGGTAAGCAAGTAATAAGTTGATTTGTTTCAAAATCTCAACTAGTATTTCAGATTAAAGCAAGAACCTTTTAACGGCTGTGCATGATACAGTTTAACTTGATTTGTTGTGGTCCAGCACAGCTTTATTATCTTCACTTGATCAACTCCTTAGAAATTCAGCTTAAAAGCATGTTTTGTTGAATTAGCCAGATTGTTGTCTGATTTTTCAGACATTGGGATCAGTAGCAACTGCAAATTCAAAGTAACTAGAGAGGACAACATTGATCCTGGGCCAACAAACCTCTATTTAAGGCTATTAGAAGTGAATTTGGGAGTATCCATCCTTGCCTTCTCAGTTTCACACTGTTGCAACTCTCAGTTGTTCTGTGATGAAGTCTTAATTCTGCAGCAATGGTAGGTATGCTTGTTACTTATCCACAAGCCTTGACACTGCATCTGTGAAGAAGACTTGAAAGGATTGAAGAAAGCTTAAAATAGTGGCCAAATGATTACAAGGCTAAAAATAGTGAGATGCATGTTGCCATGCACTAATGCGCCTGAGAACAAGCGTCAGACATCAGATGTGGTCACAAATGTGTATGCCAAGCACATGGTAAAAAGAAACTGGTGCCTTGAAAGAGTTATGCAAAGGGGCTTATCACTGCAGTCAAAGCTGACCTTCCTAATCTTATCAGAGCATATGTGAGAAGCTAGTAAGTTAGTCCGTCATGTCAGTAAACACGTGTATGAAATGCTTCAGTCTTTACACTCTTTAATGTGTTTTATTTAACTTGCTGCAGTCACTGGCCCTTGGCCAGGTTTAATGTCAACTATAGCAACAACACCAACGAAGAGTAAGTACTGGTAACTTCCAAACACCTTTTTATGAGTAGATCCTTCTTGTTTTCCCCTTCCAGCCTAGTAACGTCTGTAGTATAAACCCCTTATCTCTTCCTAAGCCTTTCCTAAGAATATAGTTTGATTATAAAGAAAGATCTAGTTTTCTTAGTATGAAAAGCATCCTTTGTGCTCCCTGTGAACTTCTTTCTGTCTGAAGTTACCCTTACCTCTCAAAAAGTGAATTTGATTAAGCATTTAGTCCCTACCTCCTCTAGTTCAGCTGGCTGATTTTACTGCACTGCCAATTGATTCATTAATTTGTCAGTTTTTAAATGAGATTCAGGTATTAATTTTCTAATAGTGATTTTCCTCTTTTGATGTACTTGTCCCTTTTTGCAAATCAAGTGCCCCAAAAATTTCAGGTTGTCAAATGAGAGCTGGCACTGATTCAGGGTACCAGGAAAACACTCATGTGAGCAGTCTAAATGAAAACTAACCATTTTTTAAAGTGTGGGTTTCAGTTCAGTAGATACTGTTGGTGTAGATGTAGAGAGAGTGACAGGCAACATAATAAGCCTTGCATTGCAACAGAAGCTCTGACAGAAGCTGCCCTTTGTAGTCTGTTTTGTACATTTGACAAGATATTTCACAGTGTTACGCCAAAGAGAAATCTCTTGAAAGGGTGAAGAGCTCCTGTAATTTAAAATCACCCAACACGAATGTTTGTTGCATGTCTTAGACCACAGCTGTCTGAGGATGTCTGCTCTGTAGCATCCAGCAGCAGATCTGTTCTCATGCATGATGAGAGATACTTTTTTCACTACTTTCCAGATGAAAACAAAAAAACCAAAAATAATCAGAATACTTTCTGATTATTTCGGAAGTACTTTCAAGAAACTCTTTTTTTTTCTTCTCCAAATAACTCCATCATGGCTAGCTCAAACTGTACATTTTAAATGATGCTGCAAAACCTTTGTGCACATAGCTGAACAAGAAGTCATCCTGCTCCTGAAGCAACTTTTTGGTTTGGTTTGCATAACTTTTATTAAAAAGGAAAATCAGTGTGTAGTGAGCAGTGGTAGAAATGTGCAGAATTTTATTTAGACTGGGTGCTAAAAGCCTGGAGCCCAGCCTGCTAGTCAGGGCCCAAAGGACCAATTAGGATAGAAATACTGCTGTCTTACTCTCTTTCTGACAATGACTCATGTGCCTTGGGCAAAACTTTCATCCTTCCAATGTTTCATTATTTTTAAATGAAGACAACACATGTCTGTCTACCTGCCTGACAGTCTGAAACATCCTTGATTTGCAAAGTACTTGACAGATGAGAAATGCAAATATTTGACTCATTCAAAGACTATGACAGTGTTTTTATAGAGGCTGATGAAGACATGTTTTCTAAGTCTGAAGATACATGCTCTTTTGAATGTGCTGGAAATACAGAGTGGATGCCACTGTATTGCTGACAAAGAGGACAGGCACAAACTGCTTTATTAGTTACTGGATTCCAATTTACTCAGTAGCACTGCTAAAGAAAAAAAATGCTGGTTTTTTTGAAGCTTTGGGGTTTTCATTATGTTAAAAACGTAAGAATGCCTGCCTTTGGGGAACTGTAGGTGATGCTTTCAAGTTTTTGACTACAACCAGCCTTTTCCTCTGAGTGGCTTTTACTGTCAGACTATGAGTAAGTGGGAGTATGAGAAATTGGGAGAGAGATGAACAGAGACCTCAGAAAGAGAAGAATCTCACTTATGAAAGATACCTGTAGTTCACAGACGGGTTTGTAGGAGATGTCAGGCCAGAGAAAAAGAAGTCTTGGCATTAGATGCTGTGTGAAAGAATGTGGGTTTTTTCCTCCTTTTTTTTAAAAAAAACAAAACATAGGAGAATTTAGAATTGACAAAATATTCCCTCCAAAGTTCACCACCACTGAGACTTTTTGGTTGATTCTCTATCTCAGCCTACTTTTCCCTGTATAACAGCACCCACAAATGTACAGTGGCCCTACCCTTTGAAAATTATGTTTACTTATAGTTCTTCCTTTCTGGTAAGAATGCCAGACCTCTGAACTATTGAGAAGCTACGCTAATGCTAACAACAGCAACTGTGAATTGGCCTTTAGATCAGGCGCCATGCATAGTAATGTGCAGTGAAATCCTGACATGATTTTTAAATAGGAAGGAATTTTCAGGGAAGATTTGAAGGAGAAGCCATAAAAATCAAGGAGGGTCGGTGGCAGAGGTATAAATACCTTGGAGGCAGTTCCTACTGCCGTGTAGAAATCAGCCTTGGAAAATGAAAAAGTTTCTTTCAGTTGAGATGCATGTATAAATAGAGGATCAGTCAACCCAAAGGTTCTCTTCTTCTCCAGTTACTGCTCCCTTGCAGTGTATAATTTTAAAGGTTTCACTGGTGTTGGTCAGCTTGGAAGGTGTTGGTTGGCCAGCTTGGTAGGACATGGAGGACATGTAAGATCTCGGCATTTTCAGTTGAGTCTCGGCTTTTCCAAATTGCATTGTAGTGCTGCAAAACTATGGAAATGTCTAAGGGTAAGAATTAGAACAGGCACTCATTGCTAAGTGAAAGATGCCTTAAAATTGGTGACTGTTGTCTTCTCCCTTGGAGTGCTTCTTTTTCCATGTAACAAGCACATTTCTAGACAGAACTGATCTGAGGAATGCAAGCAAGTATACATGAAAAGCACAAGTGAGCTTGTGCTCGCTAAATGTTGTACCTGATGGTTCAAATCCTGTAAGCAGCATTTTTTCAACTGTTATTATGTATTCTGTCTTTGCTGTGGGATGTTGCTGTTATTGAACTAATTTGTCCTTTCTTGACATCACTGCAAGGGGAGAATCAGACCCAGTCTTGGCGGTTCAGAGGAGAACACATAACTCTCATGGGAGCAGGAGTCCATGGCTTTCCTCCAAATCAGACCTTATATGTGGAGATTTATGTTTACATATGCGTTACCCACATACACAGTAGGGTCAGGAACAGTTGGGCTTTTCTGTCTAACCAATGGGGACACTTTCTGTTTCAAGGAATAAAGAAATTTGAAATACAAAAGAGGGAGATCCCAGATTTTCTGCTTGTAAAATGAGTGCCGTTCTTAAGCTTGCATGATTCTTGAGCAATACATGTAGCAGATCTAGCTCTAAGATGAAGTATTGACAGAATCTTAGGAAAGATGTTAACTTTCTGCATTTTTGAAGGGGATCTGTGGGCCTATCTGCATAAGCTAACATAGCTCAAAACTCTTCTGTTCAGACAAACCTAAGAATGGGAGAAGTCAGATTCATCTTCATATCTGGCTTATCACATTCTAATGAAGTAAAGGCTGTACGTACTTGAACAGTATGAAAATCCATATCTGGAATTAAATCTTGTAGCTTGGGTCTGTGCTGGATACTATGGAATGGTAGGGTATAATTATGTTAAATTGTCCATATTTTACTTTATTACATGAAAAGCAATTAATAAACACAGGGACGATCATGTTCCACTAAGTCTAGGTAAAATTCCCATTGATTTTAACAAGGATGGAACTTCATGCTTAGTGCTTAGCCTTTGAATGCTGTGACAATGGAATACAGGCAGGGCAATTTGGGCATGGCTTCTCTCACCAAACATAGGCACCTGCATCTAAACTAGGCAACCCCATTCTTCCTTTTCAGTTGATGGAAAGATAAAAACACTTTTAGGGCACAAGTCATCTTGTAGATATGAACTATGGCCTGTCTCGTAGATGCAGTAGATCTCTGCTGTAGAGATCTAAAGTACGTTGGCTTAATCATGTTGACTAAAGCATTTATAAAATGACTACTATGTAATTAAATGAGACACACCTCTTTTCTCTACGTTTGCTGCTTTTGTTCAGACATTGACTGAGATCCTTCTCCAAGGCAATTGTTGAAGCCAGAGGTAATTAATTAATAGCTATGTTGGTTTTAAAGAACTGTGAGAAGAAATTCAGCCTCATTTCATTTAATTACCATTAAAGCTTCAGACAGTCACTGTGAGATTTTGGATGTGTAAAGAACATTGAGAGTTTGTTAAGTCATTTCAAGTTCTATTGTCATTTGACAGATTTATTTTTAAAGCCTGAGTTCTAAAGAACGAAACAAACTGGAAACATTTAATTGAAATCGTCCTGGCACACTGATGTCTGAAAAGGTCAAGAAAGTGTGGTGACTAATGCACAGAATCAGCCAGCTGGTTACCTGGTGTGCTAGTGTGGTGATGTCAGTTTGAGAGACCTGTAAACCATTTTTACCACTTGGATCCCTGTCCTGCTCTGCCCTGAGCCTAGTCTAGTTTCCTGTACCTCAACATCCACCCTCTCACTCCTTTAACTGCTAGAATATTGGTGATACTGCTAAGCCTGACATTATGTTGTAACAGCAAAAAGGAAGAAAAGAAAGAGGTTAAAGAGGAGAAAAAAGAGGAAAAGAAGGAAGAAAAGAAGGAGGAAAAGAAGGAGGAAAAGAAAGAGGAAAAGAAAGATGACAAAAAAGATGACAAAAAAGATGATAAAAAAAAGGAAGAGTAAGTATAAAGAATGAATGTGTGCCTGTAACACACCTCCTACCATACAAAGTATGGTACGGCATTTCATCGTACCACTTCCGCTACAACTACTGTTCTGTAGGCTGCAGAATGTTAGCCTGTCAAATTTTTAATGTTTTATCCTTTCGAAAGGTGCAACTGCTCAACAAACTTTTTGCATGTTTAAGATCTGGGTTAGACCTGTCACGAACAGCTTCCTAGGTGAGTAAGAGGGAATTCAGCTACCTCTGGTCGCTTTGATTTGCTATTGAAGATCACTTTTTGACTCTGAGGATGCTTTAGGATTGCAGCCTGCTTTGCAGATCTGCATGGGCTATTCATTGTTCTGGAACGTCCATAAAGATTCAGAGTAAATGAACGAAAAGTCTGGTTTGGACAAAGAACAAAAATCTTACATGTAGAAAATTGCAGATTTACTTATTACACTGACTAGCATATTTAATTACTTGATATGGTTAAGTTCATTACTAGTGATCACTGAAGTTTGCTTCTGCTGATTAGGAGATGCTGTATTTCTGCAACAAAACGAGATCATTAGAATGTTTTTGTCAGAAATGGATCCTACTCTTAATTTGTTCCCCCAAAGCTGACCCAAACATTGTACAATTCAGTGTTACCAATCATTGATTTAGAGCAAGGAGAAGGACTTGGGAGTGTTGGTGGATGAGAAGCTCAACATGAGCCGGCAATGTGCACTGACAGGCCAGAAAGCCAACCGCATCCTGGGCTGTGTCAAAAGCAGCGTGGCCAGCAGATCATGGGAGGTGATTCTGCCCCTCTGCTCTGCTCTGGGGTGACCCCCACCTGGAGTAGTGCATCCAGCTCTGGAGTCCTCAGCACAAGAAGGACATGGAGCTGTTGGAGTGGGTTCGGAGGAGGGCCATGAGGATGATCAGAAGGATGGAGCACCTCTCCTATGAAGACGGGCTGAGAGAGTCAGGGTTGTTCAGCCTGGAGAAGAGGAGGCTCCGGGGAGACCTCATAGCGGCCTTCCAGTACCTAAAGGGGGCTTACAAGGAAGCTGGAGAGGGACTTTTTACAAGGGTATGTAGTGCTAGGATGAAGGATAATGGCTTCAAACTGAAAGAGGGTAGATTTAGATTGGGAAGATATTCTTCACTGTGAGGGTGGTGAGGCACTGGAACAGGTTGCCCAGGGAAGTTGTGGATGTCCCATCCCTGGAAGTGTTCAAGACCAGGCTGGATGGGGCTTTGAGCAACTGAGTCTAGTGGAAAGTGCCCCTGCCCATAGCAGGGGGGTTGCAACTCAATGATCTTTATGGTCCCTTCCAACCTGAATCATTTGATGATTCTATGATATAAAATAACAATATTAGCAGATAAAAGGAGAATACATTTGAGTGGACTTCACAGTTAAGAAGTATGTTAGCATAATATACTGTAAGTTTATATGTGTGTGTATGGTGGCATGTGCTATGTAGACATGGGGACATGTATTTAGGAATCACTTCCAAATGGAATCTGCTTGATCTCAAGGTCTTGACTTTCTTAATGAAAGCTTTGTTTTATTAGAAAGCCTTTGTTCTATGGATTCTCTTTCAGCTTCAATTACTATCTAGTAAATGCCTAAGCTTTGCAGTAGCCTAAAGCATTTAAAAACATTGCAGCAAAGAAAATAAATGTTTTAATGTCTAGAACGTAGTGTACTCTGTCATATGAAGATGATATTTCAGTTTTGAGGTGATGACCAGTGTTTTAGAAGAAATGGCTCAAAACCTATTGTGAAGATGGCAAGGTAAATACTTTTTAGATTAAAGCTGTTTCCTTTACTAACATCATCATGTGGACATTCAGCTGACAGCAGGGATAATGCCAGAAATAGACACAAATATGAAATAAATCATCATTACATGTTAATATATTTACATTCTTGGACATGGTGTAAGGGAGAACTTTTATAGAGTAGGGTTGATGGTTGGACTCGATGATCCCAAGGGTCTTTTCCAACCTAAATGATTCTATGATTCTATGCAATACATACCCAAGCATTGCCCCATCACATATTGCCCATACTGTACAGGTCACACTGTCATCTGTTACTATTGACCTCACTATCCACTAATATGTATTTCCTCTGATTACATGAAATGTGCCTAATTGCTATCTGTTCAGTATCAACCTTTCTCATGCTGGGGAAGGACACTTCTGAGCATACTTGTGCCATTAGCCATGCTGTCCTTTAAATCTTCTTTAAATTCGAGGCTTGTATGCTTCATTTAGCATCCCTCGTTGTTGAGGCCTAGGGAGCCAGGACTGTGAACTTGTGAAATTTGCTTTTACATATAAACACACGTTTTAGTTCTAGTCACACAATGTATGTTTGTATGCACACACAGGCTTACTTGTGTAAACATGTACTTGAACACATATGTGTTCTCCTTGCTATAATGTTTACTCCTACAGTCATTTACACAACAGGTTTTGCCAAAAACATCTAAATTAGTTTGCAAAGGAAGGCTCTTTCTCTCGCAATGGACCATAGCCTTCTAGCTGGAATGATAATAAGAAGCATTTACTGTTTTACTTTTTTTCAGTGGGTGTTATATGCAGAAAGGGTGTGGTTTTCAGCCTGGGAAGTGTGAATGGATCTGGTTTGCTTTCCACTCTTACTTTTTCCAAAGTTGGGACAAGCAAATAAATGGAGCATGTCAGATGGGTTGAAGCTAATATTTGGTGTCTCATCTGGAGCTGCCTGCACGGAAACTTTCTCTTCTTAAGCAGCTCTGAGTTCATCATGAGATGAGCAGCCTCCAGAAGAGGGAGATCCGACAGGTCACTTCAGTACATTTCTGGTGTAAATCTGCACATTTTACTTTCCAGGAAGAAAAAAGAGATCTTTGTGATAGATCCTTCAAGCAATACGTACTACAACTGGCTGACCATAATTGCAGCACCCGTGTTCTATAACTGGTGTATGCTAGTGTGCAGGTATGGATTTAAGCTCATAATAATTTTAGGCTTCCATTTAGTGTTTTACTATGTTTCCTATGTAAATCATCCTTCTATCTCCCTGAAGTATTTTTTGGGGTGGCTTACCTAGAAGATTTACAGTTCACACACACACTTAGGGATATGCGCTATACATATCAGTGGGAATAGACGGCCAATGTTTCTTTTTATCTTTTTTGTCTAAAAACGGTTTGTTGAAACTTGCAATGAGCCTCTTCCTGAGCGCTGGCAGTGGCCTTTGTGTGCCACCTGCTGGCGAGCTGCAGAGATGGGCCTTGGCCACTGCAGGCTCAGTAAATCACTGCTAAAGAGAGCTCTTCCAATCACCCACTGGAGAGCAAGAGGGAGGGGTGTGGACAATGTTGGGTCATCTTAAATTAGCATCATGCATCTAGAGATGCTTGAAGGGCAGGAGGATTTTACTCGAGTATTTATTTTCCCTTGTAAAATGTGGAAATCAGTTTGAATCAAAGTAATGGAGTGCCGTGGAAATGGTTCACTAGGTCAGGCTGTCCGATGGTGGGGAGAGATGAGGATGGCTTGCCACTCAAAAACAAATCTTCCATTTGGGATTTATCTTAATGAAGATGTGTATCCTGTGAAGTCTGATGCATGTTTAATTGAAGGGATATGTGTGTGCCTCCATAAGTACACCTGTGTGGCATATATGTGTTTGAGTTTTGCTCCTGGCCTAAACACCTTTGAATTCTGAGAGATCCTAGTGTCTGTTTAGACATAGCTCTAGTGTTCAGATGTCTAGGCATGGAGATATGCTGCCCTTAATTTTTCAGTGCCAGTAATGTGCGCTAACATGCTGCTTGGACTCACATTGCAACTGCTCTACTTATCAATTGGTGTGGTTTTTTTTCTTTTTTTCTTTTTGTGTCTCTGTTTCTTTAGGGCCTGTTTTGATGAGCTACAAGTTGACCATATAAAATTATGGCTGTTCTTGGATTATGGCTCGGATATCATCTATGTTCTTGACATGTTTGTCAGATTCAGGACAGGTGAGTCTTTCTGGGGTTTTAGAGTGTTTTCAGATACAGCATGGATATAAAGGCTGGAAACAGAAATTCCCCTGTGGGGTCTGACCAGTGTAGTGTCCTGACTCCAGCAGAGCCCAACAGTGGAGGCTTTGGGAAGATGAAGCATCTGATCAGCTTGGAGTCTGTTTTAAGTTTGGAATCTGTAATCAGTTTTAAGTCTGGACATCCCAACACCTGCACTTCCCTTGTCTCTAAATTCGGGTCTGTCAGTGCTTAGTAGGCATGCCAAACGCTGACTGAATGGTCACTGTAACAGGATGCGTGGAAAAAAAAAAGGGAGAATAAGGCACTTTGTCATGATCACTCTGTGCATTGCTTGTGCTCATTAGAGTGGGTAAGAAACCAACTGCACCCCACAAGTGTGCTCTCTTAGCCAAGTTGTGCAGCATCCTCCTCAGAAGTGGTTACTGAGTTGGTCAAGTGCTAGATCTGGCACCCATCTCAGCCTCCAGGTGGAGATGCCCTCTGCCTGGAACCAGCACTGCTGCCCCTCTGCCACCAGCTCTATGCCCTGCAGCCTCTGTGAGGTCCTGGCTGGGTCTCCCACTGCCTGGTGGTGGCATAGAGTGGATGGTGGTACCCGAAGGATGGTGGTATGGGATTAACCCAGGCACCTCTGCTTAGGTCCTGCCTTCCTGAAGGAAGTGTGAACCTAAAGGAGTGGTGAGGACAGTGCCATGTCATGCGTGAAATGGTTCTTTTCAGTTTCACTTTTCTGTAGTCCAGACAGGCTGAGAAGATCCCATATTTGAGCATGCCCAGCTGATACAGATTCTAGCCTTAAAGGGATATCTGTTTAAAACTAAATAAAGTCATGATATAGGCCTAAGCAATGACATAGAGTGATCCACACCATTAAATTGCTGGAACAGTCCTTGATGTACTTCAGTGCATGCACTCTGGCCTGTGCCAGTCTCTCAGGCAGTGTCTGGGCACAGCTGGAAGAACAGCAGAGGTTGGGTGGTGTTTGTGGTGTCATTTGTGGAGGGAACTGGGAGACCTTACATGTGAACAGCAGCTGTCATGGTAGCTGGTCTCAGGGCCAGAAAATATTTCTTGGCTTGTTCTATGTGCTGGTATGGACCAGCCCCAAAATGCCCCTTGAAAGGGTCCAAAACCACACTGATCATTATAAAAAATGAGAGTTCTTTTATGTCTTTGATTTTTACATTTTCTTTTTTTGTTTTGTTTTGTTTAAATCAGGCTGACAGCTTGACATTAATCTTGGCTTGGGACAAGTTGTAAATATAGTTACAATAGAGAGGCTAGAAATGCTATCGCCTTGGGAAGCACACAATTCCTGGCAAGCTAAATTCTTAAACTTAGCAAGTACCTTGTTCAACAGGAAAGTCTATTTTGGAAAGCAGCCTAAATGAGAAAACTGCTGTATTTGGGGGGGACGGGGGCTTCATCTTCTTTGTGCAGTTAAAATGTCAACTGCGCCAGCTATATTTCCCTTCTGCAGTTACATCTGCTGTTGCAATGGGAAGGAACTAAGCAGAGATTGGGCATGTCCAGGGAATGCGAGTTATAAAATTTCCATGGGCTGTCCTGATAGTAGTTGTACAGCTGTTAAAGCATGGTTAGAGGCTTTGCAGGCCTGGATTGGAACTGCAGACTTGCCGCAGAGATCTCCTGAACGCTTCAGTGCAGGGCTCTGCTGCAGGCCCTCAGATAAGGACGTCGCTTCTTTTAGGTGCTGAAATCTTTGTCAACTCTCTTAACAACCCCTCCTGGCTCTGCCTGTGCCTGCTGCCTTTTCCTGTTAGTCTGCAAGGTCCATCTGCCCTGGGGACAGAGGTCTTGGAGGCCTTTGGGGAAGAGTGTGACTCCCCAGAGGGCAGGGACTGGCTTTGAACTGGGATGTAGGTAGCCCCACAGCTACCGTGGTCCACATCAGCTTCTCTGTGGGGCATTCCTCTTTCCCTGCATTTTACCTCTTTGGTGACTGCACACCGTGAAGCAGAAAAGATTTGTGTCTCTCAGCAGCTGGTCGTGGGGAGCATACCCTGCATTTTGATGCTTTCAAAAGGTTTTACTGAATTTCACTGAATTTCACTGAATTTTTAGAGTTGGAAGGGACCATAGAGATCATCTAGTCCAACTCCCCTGCTAAAGCAGGACCACCCAGAGCTTGTCAGAGCATGTTACTCAGGACTGCATCCAGGTGGGTCTTGAAAATCTCCAAAGAAGGGGACTCCACACCCTCCCTGGGCAGCCTGTTCCAGGGCTCCGTCACCCTCACCGTGAAAAAGTTCTTCCTCATATTCAAGTGGAACCCTTTATGTTCCAGCTTGTGCCCATTGCCCCTTGTCCTCTCACTGGCAACTACTGAAAAGAGTCTACTCTAGGACTTCAGTTCTGTGAGGGGACAAAAACGAGCTGAGGGGCTTTTATCGCCCTTCAGGAGGCAGGTGTTTTCAAAGTTATTTTTAATAATTGTGAGTTAGAAATTCGTCTGCCTGGCCAACTTTTCTGTTTAGTTGCATAACTCCGTTAATAAGGGCGTATTTGCCCAGCAGTTTTCTGGGAGGTAACGCATTCATGGCACAGGACCTTCTTCCATTTGTAGTCACCATCAGTTAGCAGATCCCCAGAGACAGACACAGACATATACAGGGGGCACCGGTACAGACAGGCACACATTCCAGAAATACAGCCGTGCCGTGCAGGGCACAAAGAAATGCAGCTCGGTCTTCCTCAGCAGATGCTTCCCTGAGAAAGCTGCTGCTGGTGGATTGCTAAGGGATTAGCAAAACGTGATAATCCCTCATACACGGGGAATGTTTTGCTTTTCTCTCAGCAGACTTTGCCTCCTGGCTGGGGCTAGTGGGCAGGCAGCTGGACATCTCCACTTGCCATCGCAGCAAGTACTTTGCAGTGTTCCCTGCGGAGCACTTGCAATGCCTTCAGAGCTTTCAGAGGTACAAACCAGCCCTGCAGCTCTACTGCTCGGGCAGCCTTTCTACGACAACTCTTACACAGACACAGTATGCTTTAAGGTCTCTTACCACATTTTATGTCTCGTATTTTTTTTTAAAACTAATAACTTTCCAAAGTATTTTGAATGAGGAAATACCAACGTACAAAATCCCGCTTACAGAAATTCTATCTGAAATTCTGCTTACAATGTACAAAATTCTCTCACTAGAAACACACAAAAAAGTGCAACCCATTATTCCCAAAATGAAAAGGAAAATCCTGTCAGCTTTAGGATTGGACACAAGAGGAAAAGCGTGGCTTGGGGTGGGGTGTGTATGTGTGTGGGAACTGGATTTCTTTATCTCAAGGGTATCTATATTGTTTGGAAAAAAATTCCCACAATCCATTATACCTACTCATTCCTGGCATTTATTTTAAAAATGTTCCACTCCAATTTTATACACAATTGCTTAACACTTGCTTAACTTTCATTATGACTCATGCCAATGATTCATAAAAAATTAGACGTTTGACTCTCCCTTTTATTTTTGCAAAGATACCCGAAATAAAAAGATACAGCTGTCCCAGAATAGAGTGGAAAACTGCAGGGAGCACTGTCACAGCAGAGTCATTGCTCTTTATATATCAGCTTTGAAACTTAATTTAAATATTTTAATTTGCAATTAAATATTTTTCATTAAACAAACTCACAGTGTTTCAACGTCTGTATGCATAGCAGTACAAATGTCAATGTTCTCAGGTACCTGAAATGTAAGTCACTCAGTACTGTTGATGGTATTTTTATTCTGACAAGTAAAATATTTATTTTTATTCTTTGAAGGCTTTCTTGAACAAGGCTTGCTAGTTCGGGATGAAAAGAAATTACGAGATCATTATACCAAAACTACGCAGTTCAGACTGGATGTGCTGTCTCTTCTGCCAACAGACCTGGCGTATTTGAAGATTGGTCTGAACTACCCTGAACTGCGATTTAACCGCTTGCTGAGGATTGCTCGGCTCTTTGAGTTTTTTGACCGTACCGAAACCAGGACAAATTATCCAAACATATTTCGTATTGGAAATCTTGTCTTATACATTCTTATCATCATTCACTGGAATGCGTGTATATATTTTGCGATCTCGAAGCTCATTGGATTTGGAACCGACTCTTGGGTCTACCCCAACGTGTCCAATCCAGAGTTTGGGCGCCTGTCTAGAAAGTACATTTACAGTCTGTACTGGTCAACGCTCACGCTGACAACCATTGGAGAAACACCTCCTCCGGTGAAAGATGAAGAGTATCTCTTTGTGGTCATTGACTTTCTGGTGGGTGTGCTGATCTTCGCTACCATTGTTGGTAACGTGGGCTCAATGATTTCCAACATGAATGCCTCCAGGGCAGAGTTCCAGGCCAAAGTGGATTCCATCAAACAGTACATGCATTTCCGAAAAGTGACGAAGGATTTGGAAGCCAGGGTTATTAAGTGGTTTGATTACCTCTGGACCAACAAGAAAACGGTGGATGAAAAGGAAGTTCTCAAAAATCTGCCTGACAAGTTGAAGGCTGAAATTGCCATCAATGTCCATTTGGACACACTGAAGAAAGTGCGTATATTCCAGGATTGTGAAGCTGGACTTCTCATTGAGCTGGTGCTGAAACTGAAACCTACTGTCTTCAGTCCAGGGGACTACATTTGCAAAAAGGGAGATATTGGAAGAGAAATGTACATTATTAAAGAGGGAAAATTGGCTGTGGTGGCGGATGATGGCGTAACCCAATTTGTAGTCCTAAGCGATGGCAGCTACTTTGGTGAAATCAGCATTCTAAACATCAAAGGTAGCAAATCTGGCAACAGGAGGACAGCTAACATAAGGAGCATTGGTTATTCTGATTTGTTCTGTTTGTCTAAGGATGATTTAATGGAAGCCCTCACAGAATATCCAGAAGCCAAAAAGGCTCTGGAGGAGAAAGGGCGACAAATTCTGATGAAAGACAATTTAATAGATGAGGAAGCAGCAAAAGCAGGAGCTGACCCAAAAGACTTGGAAGAAAAAGTAGAAAGACTTGAAACAGCTCTTGATACACTGCAGACCAGGTTTGCGAGGCTCTTGGCAGAATACACCTCAGCTCAACAGAAGGTGAAGCAGAGACTTGCCAGAGTAGAAACCCGAGTGAAAAAATATGGTAGTGGCACCTTATCAGTTGGAGAAGCAGAGGCTGAAAAACCTGAGGAGAAGAAGTAGTAATGGACTATTTATGTTTCCTCATTTGAGAAGGTCGAAGCATGTGAAAGCCATAAATATATGTAAATATGTGTGTGCATACATAGACATGATTATTTTTATATGAACTCAAGAGAATGGTTTTTAGCATTTTTAACTGAAGCAGTATTTTCTTGTAAACAGAATATTGTCACCTTCTTAGGGGGAGATTTGGTCTGGCATTTGGTACTTTTTTTGTACTGGGAGTGGGTTTCTTACAAGTCATGCTCAGAATGTCTATTGTGTATGGCACCTATAGGTCTTGGCACATTGTCTCTTCCCACCCGTGTTGCGTTAAGAAGGCATCATACTTGAAGTAGAAGAGATTGGGTTTTTTTAAGGGCTTAAAAAAATAGTTATAGGATGCATGCTCTACCTTGCTACCTTAGCAGCTGAGTAAATGCATGGATGGACATCTGGGCTTCTCAAAATGTTTGTTCTTTCATAGTGAAGCATCTGCACAAACAGTTGGACTGTTGCCGAGCAGCAGCACAGTCCTTACCCATGCGGTGGAGCCCTGCTACAGCGGTGCATGAAACAGCCGTGCATCCGGATGCTTTAGTCTGATTCTTTCAGATGAGCTGGGCTCTGCACAAAGGACCACGCTGACAGAGTAGCAGTGCTCAGGCACGTCCCTTCTGGCACGGTCGGTGACAGCCTTTGCTGCTCTGCAACTGCTTCGGTTGGGGACAGATTGGGAGATTTACCCCCCCCCATTTTTATCTATTTTTTTTTTAATTCCCTCTCAGCAAGTGGGCAGTCCTGGAGGGAGGCTACCAAGAAACCGCACAGGCTGCAGGCAGGGACAGCCTGTCCCCCCCTCAATCTTTGCCCCCCCAGCAGGGTTTCTGCACGGCAGGGAGAGCAAGCCCTGCTGTTGCAAAGTCTTTTCTGCGACTAGGCCTATGTCTCCTTCCTCTTTCTTTCTTGTATTGATGCCTGCTCCACCTCCTTATGCTATTTAGTGCCAGCTTTTCTCTGATGTAGTCGTCTCACTGTCATGTTTCCACTAGTTAGGGAGAAGGAAGGCCACATGTGCTCTGGTCCTGCTGGTAGGAGCCTAGCTGTGCTGATCGCTTTTCTACTCACTGCAGAGTAGTTGTCTCTGAGTTGTCTCTGCCAACGGTCTGGCTCTGACATGAATGCACCGGTCTGGTCCCCTCAGCCTGCCCTCACATCAGGGCAGAACAGTACTGAGTAGGTTTCTTGTTCTGTCACGTTGCAACCTCAGGATTTGCCTCTTCCACACCACTGCTTCCAGTTTCTCTCCAAGCTTCCCTCCCTCCCACTGAGGGGATTTCTCTAATAGTCTCCCACTGGGAAGATACTAGCTTTCAGGTTTTGCTGTACAGTATTTTTCTCTTGCGTAGCTTTCCCTGTGTTACTTTTATCTTCCAGTACCTCACTGACTTCAGAAGAATATGGAGTAGCAGAGGCTGTTCAGCATCTATGGCGTGGGGGCTGGATCCTCCAGTGGCGTTAGGTATTACCATGGGCAGTGCTCTGCCTTCTAGATGTCCTCAGTGCTGACATAAGGAGCCCTAACAGCATGTGGGCATAGATGGCCTGTGGGAAGATGGGTAAGAAACCCACCGAGGGTGGTTTAACAAGATGGTAGTGAAATGGTTGCTTTGCTAAACTGAGTACAACCGCTCAGGGTGACTGGGCAAGTGGCTGTCCCCCTCCTGTGGACACTTTTGAGCCTGGTGAGAGCGACAAATCTGACAGTGACTAAGGATTAGGGCTTTGCCAGCAACACTGGCAAAGGGACCACCAGGTAGTAGATGTCTGCACATGGCCCATGTCTAAACTCCTGTTACCATCAGCCTAGGAGCCAACTAGACTTAGGTATCTAGTGTAGGCTGGGCTTAATCTATGATCGAGATTTCCACTGGCTATAATGAGGGCTTGGGAAAGTAGCTGAGACCTATATGCAGCCAGCAGAGTTTGGGAGTTTTGGTGTTTCAGCTGAATCTTGTCCTTATTTTCTCCAAGGGCTTGAGACGAATGGAGGTAAGAGAGGATGCTTTGGGCAGAAGTCTAAGTGCCCTCACTCCTGCGCTGAGGAGGGCAGCAGGGTTGGGGTGGAGCTGGCTAGTGGCAGTGTACGACTGTAAGCACGGATGGTGCTGACCACAGATGGTCACAGGCTGCTGAACTTGCAACTCTCACCTTGTAACAGAGGCAGGTACCGCACTGGCCTGTGGTGTGGTACCACGTGGCTGACATTCATGGTTGCGTTACTCAAACACCTTATCTGGTAGGGGTTTCGTATTTATCATCATGTTCTCTATCGGTCATCATTCTCTGTAAATATCTGGCTATTTACCCAACATACTAAAGCTGTTCCAGCCTACTAGGTATATACAAATAGAATTGTTCAAACTATTATTTATACAAACGTATACCTGTTAAAAAACCCCACAAACACAAGAATGCTTCTTTACCTGATGGATCAGAACAGTTTAAGCTACCAGTTAAATACATGTTTGCTCTTCCCTTTTCCATGCCTCTTGGTCTGGTTTTCATATGCCAGAAAAATAACTATTTTGATGCTATTTGCTTCAGTCACTTTGAAATATATAGCTTTTGGCACGATGAAATCACATTCTTCACTGTTTTTCATCTCTGTAAGATGCTTTCCCCCTTCTTTAATGTGACTACAGCATGTACATTAAAGTATTTTGAGTAATGTTCAAGCAGCTCCGTGTTTTCTCTTATCCATATCCTGCTGGATTTTAGAGCTTCATGACAAGACTTTGATAATGCCAGTGTTACACAGCCCAGAAAATCATTAGCTGGAACAGAGATCTGAAGTGACAGAAAACCAAGCGGGAATGGCGGTGTTCTCCCCTCACCGCAGGACAGCTGGCGTGTGGCTTTGGTCCTGTGCCCAGTTTTGACACTGTCACTGTGTTTGCAGATATCACAGAGGCAGGAGAGCCCCAGCCACCACCCGGCTTCCCCAGTGGTGCCAGGCATCCTGGGGCACAGAGCCTGCTGGGCTCCTCCTGCCACTGCTACTCATCTCACTTCCTCGCCTTCCCCGGCTCCATGAGGGTGGCACAGCAGGGATGGGGCCTTCTCCAGCAGAAATAAAAAGTGTTTGCTTTTGCTGGGCTCCCCAGTTCAAGAAAGACAGAGAACTACTGGAAAGAGTCCACTGGAGGGCTACAAAGATGATCAAGAGACTGGAACATCTCTCGAGGAAAGGCTGAGAGAAGACTGAGAGGGGGTTGCATCAATGTGTATCGATATCTAAAGGGCGGGTGTCAAAAGGATGGGGCCAGACTCTTCTCACTGGTGCCCAGTGACAGGATGAGGTGCAATGGACACAAACTGGAACACAAGAAATTCTATCTCACCACCTGGAAAAACTTCTTTACTTTGACCATGCACTGGAATAGGCTTCCGAGAGAGATTGTGGAGTCTCCTTCTCTGGAGATACTCAAAACCCACCTGGACATGTCCCTGTCCAGGCTGCTCTAGGTGAACCTGCTTTGGCAGGGGGGTTGGACTAGATGATCTCCAAAGGTCCCTTCCAACCCCTACCACGCTGTGATTCTGCCACTTGTACACATGCACTTCACCTACCAAAAATCTCCCCCAGGCAGTACCCAGCAGGGGTCGTGCTGGTCCTTCAACACCACCACAAGAATAAGCAAGGAACAAGGACAGCTCCTATGGAACATTTGAAAGCACACCTCGAATCCGCAAATTAGTTTAATGGCCACTGCACTCACTTCTTGCAGGCACAGGAGCCAACACACACAAAAGCGGGCATCTATGAGATGGTACCATTGCTCCAAGCTGCCCGTGCTGAGCGAGACACCTGATGGACAAGGCCTGATGTTATTTGAACATCTGCTGCAGGTGCGAAAGGAGGGTAAAGCTGGTGGAGCAGTGCTGCCATGCTCCCTGAGCTGTGCCAGGGGAAGGGGCTCAAGTCACAGGCCCTGCTCCCTAACAGCAAATGGTTCAAGTCCCTAAAGTACTCTCAGTAACGGCACCCCATCCTTTTCCCCTCATCCCCTCTTATCATTTTTACTTAAAACAATTTTTACAGTAGAAAGGTCTGCTCTGGAAAATTCAGCCAACTGAACTGGACAACAGAAAAGGTGGTAACAGCAAAACAGCTCGTGTGTGTGTGTACAAACTCCCTCACACACAGCCAAGGGTTGGGGTGAGCCTGACTCTGCAACTCTTTCTGCAGAAACAGCCCCAGGGAAGAACAACCCTACATCTATTTTTTTTTTTTTGAGGCATCTGCTTTACAGTTTTATTTCTGCCAAATATTTATTAACCTACAAGCAGAGGGTGGTCTGCTTTACATTAGGAAACAAACTGTTCATTTTTCTTTCCCCCACAAAAGTGCTAGTGCTTCCTCAGAGCCGGGCTGGACGTTGCTGATGTAGAAGACATGTTTGTTGGTGTAGCGCTGCTGCTGGCGAGGATGAGGGAGGATTGCACAGGCCAAACCAAGTCCAGGGTGTCCACCGAGATAACGCAGTCAGGCTGACTAAAGGAGAGCTGCTCTTCATCCAGAAGATTTGTGAGATGACAGCATTTGTACTTGGCTTCAAAGTCCCCCGGCTCTTCTGTTAACGTTTCCATCCTGGAACAGACAGAAAGAATCAAACCCTTGTTTACATAATTTAGCATTCATAAAACCCCTTTGTGTATCCCCGAGAACAAAATGAATTATGCACTAAGTGGACCTGGCAACTGTACAGGCAGCTAAAGGACAAGACTTCAGCTGCGGCAGCTTTCCTGAGGGAAGCCATGAATCTGGGAATCCCCCTCATCCTCCAGCCCCATCTACAGTCCAGAGCCCGAGGAGGAGAGTGCCTGGGGAGTCCTTACGGGGAGGACGGGGAAAGCCCTGCTCTCTTCCACTCTGCCTTGGGCGGAAGGGGAGGGAAACACACGCAAGCCCCGGGTCTAAAAAGGGTTGGACCTTTTGTTTCTGTAATTCAGATTTCGCAACTGTTTACAGCTCAGAAACCAACGGCCAAGGCTTGCTGCTGCCAACTGCCCTCCCAGCTTCACTGGGGAAAATAAAATTCTGCTGGTCTGTGTTTGCAGTCCTCCCTGCTCCGTGCCCTAAAAACAGAGTGAAGAGGGAAGACTCACGTTATTTAAGCAAATTGGAATTTGCAACCTCAAGACCGTGACAGCAGGGCATCCCTCAGCTCCAAGGATGAACACAGACACCAGCTTTATTCCAGAAGCAGCAGCGGTTCTCACAAAGAGATTTTCCTCATCGGCTCCACCATTTCTGCTTGGCTTCTGCAGGGAGAGCGCAGGTTGCTGTGCCAGTGGCCACAGCTCCCGTGCCAAAGGCTGTCCTCCCAAAAAACCAAGGAGGACACTGCCCAGCTCTAACAGAGGCCTGTCTTATTTGTGTAGGTAAATGGGGGGTAGGTTACTAATATCAGGAGTGCAGAAATATGAAAGCTATTACATTTTTCTCTCCTTAATGTTTGTTGAGGCTGGCATCAGCCTTTCTGTCAGAGGGCAACTGAAGAACAATAACATGGAAAAATCAGGAAAGCACAACTGTATTCTGGACTGATGGTCAGTTTGATGAATGGCTATTAATTTCTCATCTTTTTGTCTGTTTGACATGTTATTTCTTTACTTTCCTGATGAGAAAAAAACACCAACTAAAACACCGCAAACCATTCTGGTTTTATTGCTAAGTTATTTCTCCCCCGTTGCCCTGGAAGAGGAGCCACCCCACAGCAGTCCCTACACCTGAGCAGCCCCTCCAAGTGGGCACAGCAAGAGCCAATGGGCACTACCTGCTTTTCCCAAGAAGGAGGTAGAGAAGCACAAAAGGATTATTTTTCTTTTTTTTCCACAGTTGTGTTCCCAGCTGATGAAGCAAACTGACCACGCTGCAAAGACTTACTCTCTTTAGGAGAACCGATTGCCAGTTCCCCTCTGCAGTACAAAATATTTTACTTGCAGAATGATGCAAATAATTCATCCAACAATTTACTCTCTTTAGGAGAACTGATTGCCAGTTCACCTCTGCAGAATGATGCAAATAATTCATCCAACAAGCCTCAGTGGCATTCCCACTATTTTCAAATTATTTGCAGATTTAGATGTTTAAAGCACGTCCTCAGGGCTGCTTGTTCCCAGGAACTTGTCCAATGCTTGGCACAAGGAAACTTCTCTTACAGCAGTGACTTTGGGCACTCCATGGTAAAGAAAATGATCCAGAGGTGGGTTTTTAAATAGATTTTGATTACTGGAAACCCAATGCCACATCTCCTTGCAATAACACAGCTGTCTCTGACTACGCTTGCATGAAGGTTAGAAAAAAACACCTTGTGTCTAGCAACAAAAGCTGCAGAGCTTTTCTAGGAAAACACCTCATGACTTTCCAAACACATCAGTTGCCACCACAGCTCATTTATCCTGTCAGCCACAGACAGGTTTCTCCACACGTGGTTCAGAGCAGAGCACTGCTTGCATGAAGGTTAGAAAAAAAACAACCTTGTATCTAGCAACAAAAGGCTGCAGAGCTTTTCTAGGAAAACACCTCATGACTTTCCAAACACATCAGTTGCCACCACAGCTCATTTATCCTGTCAGACACAGACAGGCTTCTCCACGCGTGGTTCAGAGCAGAGCACTGATAGCACGGATGAGGCTCCTGGCCACCAGCCACAGACAGGTTTCTCCACACGTGGTTCAGAGCAGAGCACTGACAGCACGGATGAACGGATGAGGCTCCCGGCCACCAGGCAGGTTGGCAGAGGAGCTGCCCCAAGGAAAACACTTTCAGTTCAGGGTTTCATGGCCAATTGCTTTGGAAAGGTTTCACCTGCTATAACCCAACTGCACCAGCCACAAGCGCTGACAGCCAAAGGAGGATGAGTACAATGAAGGACAGGAGCAAGGAAGGAGCCATGCAGCACCTTGGGGCAGCTGATGGCAAGGAGGACAAGACCTGTCCCAGGCACAGGAGAAGCACTCAGCAGCTCAGCCTTATGCCACCAGGAGCTGTTACAGAAGAGATACAGTGACCTGGAGCCCCAGAGAAAGCAGGCAGGAAAGCCCTTTTCTATGGACCAGTTTTCTACAATGGATTTACACAAACTTTGGTGGCCAGAAGGGACCCGTGCCAGACCAATGGACAACAGGGACGTTGCCAGTGCCAAGGGTGGGAGTAGAGTTGTGCAGCACAGCAGAGCTACCTACTCTGTACAGGCTTCAATCCTACAAGGCTTCACTCTCACTTGTGTAGGGGAGAAAAAAAATAAAATACGGAGGAAATTCAGAAGGTGATGAGACCAACTGATGCTGCCATCAGCCACTGGGAGACTCCAGAGGCTGCAACCAGCCTTGGGATGGGAGACTCCCAGAAGAAAGGTGAAAACCAGCAGAATATGGCTGCTGGAGGCTCCCAGCCCCTCCCAGACACTGTGAAGAAACTGCCAAAACAGCCCATTTTTACCACCGACAGCCCTGGAGCAGCAAGATCTAAAACCATCCTCTGAAGGTGGCAACAGCAGCAGTGGGCACAGGAGAAGCACTCAGCAGCTCAGCCTTATGCCACCAGGAGCTGTTACAGAAGAGATACAGTGACCTGGAGCCCCAGAGAAAGCAGGCAGGAAAGCCCTTTTCTATGGACCAGTTTTCTACAATGGATTTACACAAACTTTGGTGGCCAGAAGGGACCCGT